TATTTTTTTTTTTTTTTTTTTGAAAAATTTAAAAAAAAAAAAAAAAAAAAGAGCATCTGCAAAAACTGGTGAGGCCTCCAAAATAAAATTACTTTGTGAGATAACATTTAGCCAAACAGCCATGACAATTAAATCTTCTAAAGTAGGGATGGGTAAGCTTTGGTGATCAGGAATCATGAGCAAGAGTTACTGGGGATGAAACAATGGGTAGATGGTGTGGGCTCTGGGGCCACAAAAAATGGGCTGAGGGGCACACTCAGGCTTTGGATCCTGGTTTACCCATCCCTGTTTTAAATGGTGCAGAAAATGATTTGATTTTCTATGATTTGTATTTCTGGCCAGAAACACATCTGCATAAAGAAAATTAACAAGATATTATATATATACATACACACAGAGAGATGCATATAGATATATAATCTATATCATATATTGATTCATTAATATTAATATAGTTAATACAATACAAATACAAATATTAATATAATAAATTTAATATTTATTCAATCAATCAGTTTGGATGGATGGATGGATAAGATAGACAGACAGACAGACAGACATAGATATTTTCTCTGGTTTCCTTCAAACTCTTTGGTAGGTACATACACACAATCCTAAATAAATTGCACCGTTATTACAGTCTACTTCACACACACACATACACACACGCATAGCCCAAAAGGAGGCTGGACAGGAAATACTAAATTACTTTGCAGAATTATCATATACCACTCCTGCTCCCCTGAAAATGGGCACAACAGTATTATGTTAACTTTCAAGGCTTATAGAGCTCACAGTCTTTCCACCAATGTTCTGCTTTTTATTCCATCTATAAAATAATGATGAATTTTATCTAAAATAATTAGTAGGATTTAAAAAAAAACATTCAGAGACTCAGAAAGAATTGAATTACAAGTTTAACAAACTTCTGTCTTTCCACTTCCCTTTGTATTTAGAATTAGACACACTGTTACCTAATCACAAACACCTTGATTTCTAAACTGTTTATATCTTCCCACTAGGCCTAAGAGTCATACCACGTCTTGTGTAGCACAATGAAATGTGGGTGTTCACAACTCAGTTGAAAAATGGGTGACTGGAAAACTTAATGCTCTTAAAACTCTTGTCCACTGAAACTCCCTTAAAAAAAACAAATGTAACTGCCCCAATTTGGGGGCCCAGCTTTCCTGGAGGCCAGTAAAGATATGCTGGCAGATCATACCTTTTGCTAAAAACTGGGATGACATGAAAACTGGGAATCTTGGGAATATATTCCCCTTTGTTGACTTCATGCTTCCAAACCAGGGGTGGGCAGGTTGTTTTTTGATGTTCTTATGCGTGTATCATTTTGTCTTTTTTTAATAGCCATTCTTTTGCTGATATACCATTTGTAGTAACAGAAATTAAAAAATAAAGAATATGTAGAAAAAGGTATGCAAATTAAAATAGATTATATTTATATGTCCTTGAATATAAAGCACTTATATTTTGGTATATTTCATGACTGCAAAGTTAATTATAATAAAACTGTGTTTATCAGGCACTTTACTTTCCAGAAGAACAAAAGAATGACAAGAGTTGAGTGCAAGTCATCTCTTCTCAGAAGTTCCATTAAATTCAATGAGATTTATTCTCAAATGCGTATGTATAATACTGCAGTCAAAAAGCTCCAAAATCCCAAGTGTTTTCTTGTACTGAATGATTCACACTGCATGCATGCAAAAAAAAAAAAAAATCATAATATTCACAGGAACCCTTCAAGCAGTTATTTGATACAAATTGATATACTGCAATCTGAGTAGGATATATTTTACTTTTCTCTGCTGAGATAGTAAGTAGAAGAAATAACACTTTGATTTTCTTGCTCTGGTTTCACACAAGAAATCAAATGCTCTGTTTAACACAGTAGAATCCCTAAACAGTTTTGTAGTAAACAACATAGTTAGTTACAATTTGCTATAGGGACTCAAAAACCATGATAGTCTGTTACAAAACAAAATCCACTAACTCAGAATGCAGACAATAACTGCCTTAAACAAGATTCTTGTTGTGAAATGTGTATCATAAATTAAAGCTTTATCTAAAATAAAAAACCTCAATGCCTTATGGCAGTGTGATAAAATAACTAATATTTGGGTTGGGGGAAAAATAAGAAAAAAAGAAAAAATCAAACAAATACCAAAACATCTTAGCCAGAATGCCTAAAACGTTTGCTTCATAGGATTTTGATTTTGTATAATTATTGTCTATTCCTGGAGACCCTAATAATCTCCATTTTCACATGTAATTCATAGCACATATTTCTTGGAGCAGAATTGTTCCTTGTGGTCTTCACTTTATTTCATTATCTTATCTTCCTTCGTAGTAGGATTGTGCAGATTTCAAAAATGCCTCGGAAGAAATGCTTCAGTTCTTGTTCAAACGCACCACCCTTTTTAGTAATTATTAATGCTTATTTAATGCTATTCATTAAAGCAGCAGCAGCAACAGCATTTTCATGTTTCCAAATAGAGCACCCACCTAGACATTCCTCACATCAGTTTTAAGAAAATAGCCTCATCAGTTCACATAGCTTCCATGTTTTTTTAAAAACAATCTCTACAGATAGTCCTTGGATTACAACAGCAATTGGGACTGGAATTTCCATCACTAAGTGATGTGGTTTTAAACCGTGATGTCATGTGACCGCATTGCTTAGTGATGGCAATCCTGGTTGCCATCCTAACCCAGGACCGCGTGGGTCATTAAGCGAGGACCTCAGATGATTGTGATGTGAGAAGAAATGGAGTCCCAGTGTCAGATCTACGATTACACCCAGGCAAGCAGGCCAGTAGGCAAGAGCTACAGGCAGGTGAGTGTGACAGGTAGGCACTATGGCGTGTGGGCAAGTGGGCAGGTGCCACAGATGGGCACTATGGATTGTGGGTGGGTGCTGTGGGTGGGCACTAAGGAGCATGGGGGTGGGTGGACAATAAAGTGGTGGGAATGACTTACAACCTCCTGCTAGTTTCCCCATTGACTTTGCTTGTGGGAAGCTGACAGGGAAGACTGCAAATGGTGATCACATGACCACAGGACACTGCAACCATTATAATTGTGAGCTAGTTGCTAAGCACCTGAATCACGATCATGTGACTACAGAGATGCTGCGATGGCTGCAACTTTGTGGACCAGTCATAAGTCCCCCTTGTTCAGTGCTATCATAACTTTGAACTGTTGCTGAACAAGTGGTCGTAACCCGAGGACTACATGTATCTTAGCAACCTCTGAGATAAACCAAAGTAAAAGCAAGTATAATATTTTCCATTCCCCTTCAATAAATCTTGTTAAAAGAGACTCTGGAGAATCTTGCTTTCTGTTGAAGTGGGCTGCCAGACAGCAGTATTACACAGAGCCTCCAAATCCAGCCTCACCATTTCCCTAATCCCTTTCCTAATGTGATGAATTTCATTTCCCCATCTATGACATTTCCTTCTCTGTAATTTGAAATAGAGAATTTGTGCCATGGGTTATTCTACTTATCTAACTCCCTTCTTTTTGGAAACATTCATGATAAACATATATTTGTTACCTTTGCCAGCAAGCTCCTTTCTTTGTGTTGCTGGACCCGCTTTGTGTAGACCATACTTCTATGAAAAGTCCCTACATTATGTTTTTGGGATATAACTGTGTACGTGCAATTTCATGCAGGTGTGTAAATAAAAACATTTGGTTACAGAATTCTGCTCTTCATTAAATTGACATAATTGAACATACTGCTTTATAAATTTCCTCTGAAATCAGTTGAATACTATGCCATTACACTTGATGAATCCATCAATTATCAAATTGTTTTGTTTTGTTTTTTTAAATTGTAACTACTACTCTTCTGGCCCATCTTACTCTGGTGATGAAAGCCAGGACTATTTGTACAGTAGCTTAATTTGGACAGTAAGTAATTAAATGCAATTTAGGTGTAAAATAGGTAAACTTTCAACTTTCTTTTTCTACCCACTGTTTTTCACCTCTTCAATCTGTCAGATTGGGCCTTTAGATTTCCTGTTGTTCTGCATTATCAGTTATCACACAGGTATTAGCATATCTTCATATTTACTGTGCTCCCTCTAGGAGAGTCTAGATTAGATTGGAAAATTACCTAAATAGAAATTATTTTTCTCTCTGCTGCATGCCTAACCTCTCTTTTCACAGTGCTAGCAGTTCATGCAAGTGTATAGGTGAGATAAAAGAACTATAATAGTTTGAAGTGCCATTCGGATTTTAAAAGCATCTCAAGGTGTACAAGAGTTCAGTAAAAATGAAATCTATTAATTACTAACAGACTCTGAGGGTCTAATCCAAAATCTCGTCTCCAGTGACAAGCCTGGAACAGATTTCAATAAGATACTCTGAACAATAATCATCTGAATGCAATGTCCAATAAAAATATATTCAGTGTTGTTA